AAGCCCAAAATAAGCAACTCACGTTCAAAAATAAGCCCAAAAAACTGCAACCCGTGACTCACGGAATTTACAAAGGACTTTAGAAAGAAAAAAAAAAAGAAGCCCAAAGTTGCTTATAATAAGCGGACCTGGCAACACTGCTTGGAAGATGCTGCTTTTACAAGACGTGTTCTTGAATAATGAATTACTTTTGTTTTTTGTAACATTTATGAAAAAGTCTGAGCAAACCAAAAAGGTGACCTTATCAAAGAAGGAAACATAAAAACATAGAGCCACACAGCAGGAGAATTCTATATTTATTGTAAACCAGTGAAGACTTCATCTGTTATCTTAAATCTGAGCCCTAAAGCCAAACACCCATGCTCTTATTTCTGCACCAACCCTTTGGCAAACTTATTAATAGTTTGGATTAAAACATGTCCCTGCAAAATGGGACTGTGCTTCAAGAAGTGATTTTACATTCAGTTGTTGCTATTTTTTATTATTTTTTTTAATAAATGACATATTAATATGCTCACATATGGTTTCATTTAAAGGGCCAGCATTGTGTGTTTCTCAGGCATATAGTTCAATTCTATATCACAATAAAGTAACTATGTCACCTTCAGTTGTTATGAAAATGCTGTTTAAATGTATAAATCAAAAATAAATTTGACTCCGCATCATGTGGGTTTCTAAACTTGAAGCCAATCGTCGCTGATGTCCCCCGTTGCCATTCAGTATTGACCAACCATTAGCAGTTTTGTTGGATCATCACAGGCCTTCATTATTTAAATAATCTCATGAGGACGGGGGGCTAAAGTGAAATCGTCAAACTAAAATATGTGGAATTTAGAGCCAAACGTATGTCTGTGGTGTGATGTCTAATTAGGCCATGTCCTCCAAAACATTGGAGTGCATTCCTATAGTGGGGTGGATTAGGATTTACCATAGCGAAATGGGTGCAGATTGGCTGAAATATGTGGAATTTAAAGCCAAACGTATGTCTGTGGTATGATGTTTGTTTTCGCCACACCACCATGACCACGCCTTTCATCAAACAGTTTTTGTGCTTGAAAGCAAGTGAGATCAAGTTCTTATCTGTGTTCTGACACAAATTGTTGCTGATTTGGTGAAGAGGGTCAGAGATGAATCTTTCCGAGCCAAAAAGGTCACTTCCTGTTGTCAGGGGGCAGGGCTTTAATAATGTCATATGGTACGGTCAGGCATGCAACATGGATGACTCATATGAAGTTTGATGTATTTTAGCATTTTGATGTGAAAGTTACAGCTTTTTGAAAATGTAACAGACGGACGGACAAGCCGACGGGTGAGCTGGACAGATGGAAAGCATTTCCAAGTCCCCCCGCCTCGATGACGGGGGACAAAAAAAGCTGCAACAATAAAGAATATCGTTTTTGTAAAATGTCAACTCAGGATACAATTGAACCTTACTGTCGGACCCAGAAAGTACGTTTTCTGAAGAACCGGAGTGAGTAGAGAGTAGACTTTGTGTAGAAAACCTGTTTTTTTTCTCAGTTTTTTTTCTCCAAGTCAACACTTGCAGAACCAAAAGCTGCAGTGCATTATTTTAAACCTGTACCATAACTGTCCTTCTGGAGCTATAGTAGTTAAACTAAATGACAGCACGCTGACAAATGGTGCTGGAATAAAGAGTTAATGGTCTGAGGTATTGGTGCTTAACGCAAACTTTAAGGAGCTGCTCTGTGGCCTTGCATTCAGCGTTGACCCGGTGGTGTGAAAAATGGGATCAATTAAAGCCGAGGCAGGTTTAGAGATGACTTACGGCTCTCCTGAGTCACTTGTTACGTGAACCATAACAAGGCGAAAGCAGAATGGGAAAGCTTGTCTTTTGTTTGGACATAAATTACCTGAGTTCATGCGGCCTGTTTGGGGAGCTGACAGGGATGTGCTGCATATTTCATCCTGGTAACAGTTAGTTGCATTCATTTCCTACATGCTGGCTATTTTTGACAAAAAATGTAAATGAAAAAAGTGACACTTAAAAATAATTACCGGCAAACGAACAGCTACAGCTTGGATTCCTGTCACCAAATTAAATGACATCTAATATGGGAGGGCAGACAGAGACCGCTTGTGGCGGTTTGGCCTAAACAAGAACAAGCACAGGAGGCTTGGTTAGGGAGTCTGGCTGTTAATGTTAATACCAGAAGTTTGGAAGCACAAACATTAACTTTTTTATATTAAAATAATCATGTCAAAAAATGCTGAGCTTTTCAGAGTCGACAGATTTGCTTCATAAGAAGGAATAATTTCTTTAGCATTGTACTCAACACAGCTGGATTGTACACTTCCACTGTTCATTCTACAGATGCCAGCTAGTCTAATAAGGTGAACTAAAATCTGGCACAAAAGGCCTGATCATTCCTTGAAGGAAAGCATATCATCTGCTGCCTTTCATGTCAGATTTTGAAACTAAGATTATTTCATAGTGAAAAAACACATCTTAATGACATTATGATTTCAAGATATTTTTCAGCTCTTGTATGATATGGTAAATATAGCTGTGTTTGTGTTGCTGCAGGTGATTAGCTGTGGCAGCCAAAAAAGTTTTAATAAAGTTTGAAAATGTGCTTTCATTGAGTACTTTCTGAAAAGTTCAAGATCCACTGTTTCAAGATATTTTTAGTGATTTTTTGTTCAACAAAACAGTGTTTTAACATGTTTTTTAAACACTGAAAAGTACTACGTGTACGACTGACTAACTGTAATCATTAGTACAGAAGTACTATTTAATAAAGAGAGTTTTACTCACTGTTGAGTTGTAGCGAGTAGCTGCTCTCTTGAATTCTGAACGCTCATTTTCCAACAAGGAATTCCCACTGGAGAGGCATTCCAGTTTGGCCTTTTAGTGAGAAATTCCCATTTCCCAATAGGCCACAACAAAAGTAGCTGGTGAAAATGCAGCAAAATGGAGATTTCACATGCCATATTTCGCCAGCTGCTGGCTACTTGTGCACTTCCGCCTAGTGGCTGTCATTCTGCAGGTAAAATAACTGACATGCCTTATGGGAGATGTGCTTTATGGTCAATGCTGGCTTTAAAGCAGCACATAAAATAATGTGGCCAAGCTGGCTACATTCAACCTTCAGGTTTTGAGTTTGACACAAGTTTTAGGTGAACCATACAAATGTTCTAAGTCTGGATCAAACTGCAGCACTACCTGAGCCAAAAGAGACATTTTCTGTTTTATATTATTTATGCTATTGATTTCCTGCAGATAAAATTCAGCCACGTAATCTGATGGGAATGTTTTCATGTCTTTCACTCAGTGAATCGGGCTGCAAGGTTGTACACAAACGCAAGCAAATGTAGAAACAAAATGACTATGTGAGCAGGACATCATGCTTTGTAGTGCTCCACAGAATTATTTAAATCTCTATTATGCAGGATTTTTTTTCCTTTTGTTACATTTTCAGTATGAAAGTGTTTTGGTTTGAAAGCCTAACATTCGTGTGTTTATTGCCAGTGTCAATACAATGTTTGTTTATTTTCCAGGAGCACATGATCCTCTGTCGTTTCGCCGATCAAACTGCTGTCCAGCTGCCACCCGAGAGGCGCCTCATCGGTACTGTTTTCAACCTCTTTCCTAATGGAGTCATACTGTATATGATGTGTTCATATGATGTGTTCACTGAACCGTGGAAACGGGTGAAATTCAAGTGAGCATTACCTTTAATTTGACAGATACTGAGCTCAAATTTGGTGGAGCGGTAGCTGAAAGTGATCTTAAACACATACTATAAGCACCGATAGATTATGTGGGATTTGTTTTTTTAAACTTTTGCATGCAGGCTCTTGTGCATTCCTTCAAGAAAACTGAATGAGCAGCATGCTTCATAAATTCTCACTGTTCAATTATGATTCTCTTACCTTGTATTTTAACATAATGAACACCATCTTTTTTTGACAATGTTTGTTACAATAGAAGCAGGAAAGTGTAAATGCACTGAGAACACCCACTCCTGTTACTTCTGAGTGTTTTGAGGTGTGTTAAAATGGTAATGTATGGATCATTTACAGCCCGACAGAACAGCTGCACTGAACAGTTGCCAGAGCCGAGCTTGAAGGAAGTGAGAAACCTCCACTCCCGTGTCTGAGCTCTACTGTACATTGTTACATCTAGTCTAGTGCTCTCTTCACCCTGATAGCTCTTCAGTTTATCAGAAAAAAGCTCCCTGATGTCTCGTCAGACTGAAGCCCTTTTATATGTACCTGACAGCAGCCGTCGCCCTGTGGTTTATCCTCTCTATCTACAAACAGATCTCAGTCTTTCACACTAACATTGTTTTACCAGCTTTCTTCTCATCTCTCCTGAGCCTGAGAGACAGACTTTAACCATCAGGAACCACTTACATTGAGTATGTTTACAGCCAGCTACCACATGGTACACCGCAAAATTATTATATATATTGGGTCATCTTCTGAATGGGTGTTCTGAACTGTAATTTCATTGTGCTCTGTGTCTCTATTCTATTCTATTCTATTCTATTCTATTCTATTCTATTCTTTTGAAGAGTTCTGTTACACGTGAAAGCTAGAAATAAACAAAACAAAGCAGAATACTTTTGTACAAACAAAACTATGTTCGTGATGATCAATTTTCATTGTTAACTCCAGCTTTAATCTGCAAAAGTATTTTTTACACAACATTTGATGCTTCAGCTGCAAAATTACACCTATGTTGCTAAAAAAAAAAAAGCCTTGCGCTGCCTTTTAAGATGACTGAATTATTTGATTTTCTGTCAGTCCATTGAGAATTTGACATTTATTCATTAATAATGCAGAACCTTTGAATTGGATTCATATCGAACAGTCGATATTTTGTACTGACAAGATAAAAAAAATAGTTGTTTTTCATTTGTGCTGTTCAGCAAACAAGTGGCTTTTCTCACAGTTTATTTGGAACAATTGAAAATGTTTCACTCCAGACCAGCTTATAAATTTAACTTTGTGTCTGGTAAAACCTTTCATTCACATTATTTTGTTGTTGTTTTTTACTTCTCCCCAAAAAAAGAACATTTAACACATTTATTAAGTAAATGTTAGCTTAGTTTTTATCCCTTTCAGAGAAAAACTTGATAGTGTTATTTGTTTATTTAATGCATTTGTCTCTGTTTGACTGCAGGTAAACAGTGTATGGGCTTGGTAGACCTGGATCGATCGTGGGCAGCAGAGACTCATGGGTACTCTGTGCAGGTGATGACTATGGAGCCAGAAAGCTGCTCACCGAAGAACAACATGCTGGTGGGAAGGCCGCCACAGAGGACTGAACAGGAAGTCATTGATCAGCATCTGAAAGCATCGCAGAATAATTAGGAGTGCGAGTGTTCAGCAGGATGTTGTCAGAACAATCAGGGTTGGATAAAGTACTCAAGCATCTGTGTGGTGTGGTTAAATCATCACTATTTTTATATATTTACTTAGTTTTGTTTTATTGGTTTTGTGCAGATTTGGTTTCAATATAACAAAGTAAAATGTTTCTGTATTTGTTAAAGAAAAATCGTACAAAAAATATGTTTGGAACCAACGAAATGTTAAAATTTGCTCTCTTTTCACACATTTGACTGAATCCCCTCAGATAAGTCCTTCCAGTTATTGCTGCTTGGTTTTAATAAAAGAGCTTGAGCCTTTCTCCAACTTGCAAAGCAGTCGTGTCTTTGCTTGCAGTGTTTGTTCAAGCTGTCGGCGTACACCGAAGCAGCGGGAATCTCGCACCCACCTCGCTAATGAAGCGCGCCATACGTCCACGTTCGCCGAGAAATGTGTCTGTGAAAGCGCTCATCAGTCAGCTCCGGCTGATTAACCCAAGGAGAAATTCAGAGCTCGAAAACTCATCTGCGCTTAAAGATGAGATGTGGACTCGCCTCCGTCTCATCTCGCCTCCACCTCTGTGTGTTCTAATGAAAGACTGAGACGGAAAGCCGTCCGCGGAACCGGGGGAAATAAGATTTAAACTCCCATCACATCAGGTAAAAAAGACCACTTTTCATGCTTCTACAGAGAACCTGATTATTTCTCGCGAAGAAGCAATGTGAACAGGCTCTGCGTTCAGTAATAAATTCAGCAGCAATAAATATTTTATGATTCTGCCAAGAAGGTCAGTGCCTGATTAGGTGCCGTGGTTTAGATCCCCATCACTGAAAATTACACAGTTCTCCTTTTCCACTTTGTTGACAAACTGCTACTGCTGAACATCTCATTCCTGCTGCGGACTCTGGTTCTCTTGAAAAGAATCATATTCTGCCACAAATGTGTCGGCTGCAGAAAAAGAAGTGTTAAGAGGAGAGCCCTCACAGAGGGGCTATACAGGAAATACAGGGTTTTTTTTAGCAATGGCCTCATCTGAATTCAGTCAGTAGAGTCAATCTGTCCTGAGGTATGTTTTTTTTTCCTCTCTTTTCCAAAAAGCAGGCGTTTGACTCCTCATTTATGCTTGTGGCTCTGCACGAGTATACAGAGAAAACACAGTTGGTTCTGCCTAAAGCCCGCGTGAGAACGAGAAAACTGTGAAGCTGTGAAAAGCGTTGACTGAACTTAAAACACAAAGGACTGGAGGGTGACTGGAGTGGATTTTTTTTTTTTAGTTTAAAAAAAGAAATTATGTTGACTTTTTGCTTGAATATAAAACTTTTCTTTGGTAAGAACTCTTCTCAGAGAGCTTTAACACGACTTCATGGTGAGTTATACACTGAGCTGAACACAGCAGAGTTGCACCTCCATGCTGTTGGTCATTCCCTTCAAGATCTTTGAATCTTGCCTTTTTTATTTTTAATGTACAGCCTGGTCAATAAAGTTATTTTTATTTAATTTGCATATTTTTTATTACAGTTAAAATCACACTTTTTTTACATTTAAGTGCTGCATTCTTCTTTTTTTTTTTTTTTGTCTCCTATAATAGATGCTTTATAACAATGCTATTCAACTAAATTACTTTGTTTTCTACAGTTACTGAAAGCCAGCCGCTCAGGGGCTGGACATCCAGCAATTAATAAAAATTTAAATGTGTACTCTAATTTTTTTTTCTGGTTTAAAATTTAATGTAAAACAAGGATATGAGATAACTGGTACCATTTTACAATAAGCCTCCTCTTATAGATGCCTTAAAATAGTTTACAGATAGGTTATTAATTCATCTGTAAACACTATAAATCATTAATGTTTTTATGCATTAAAGATGATTAGTTAGTCATTTTTTATTAATGACAAATAAACATATAAACGTAATAAAGGAGCCTTATAAACAGTACTGTTTTACACTTTAAAATAAGGCTCCCTGTGATAATTGTGGATATGTATAATGCAGTAATACAATACAATATTATATGTAAAAATATGTTTCCAATACATTATTGTTCTTGCGAGGTACTCTGAAATGTTTAATACAGCACTTTAGATATGTACATGAACAGATTTGTATGACTATTTGGCAAGAAAGCAGACAGTTTTTCTCTTTCTTGTCCATCATTAATGCATAAAAAACACATTGATGATTTGTAAAGTTTTTGCAGAGAAATTAACCTATCTGTAAACTATTAATAAGCCATGAAAGAAGCCTTATTTTGAAGTGCTACCAAAATTATATTATATTATATTATATTATATTATAT